TGGAACACCCTCCCTAGAGAGAGACAGTGTACAAAAAGCCACAAATTGTTTCACATTGATTGATTGCAACTTTCATCTCAAGCATCCGGATCGAGATCCTGATCTCGCGGAAGAGAAGACCCATGCAGGCTGTAGCGTGTACAACCGCGACACTTGCGATCTTGCCTTCGCGCAAAGCCTTTGCATGCAAAGACTCGTGTCCAAGTGCAGTCTCTAAGACAAAGACTCAGGATTGCATACTGATCATGTGCGAAACAACATCTTAAATTGAAGTTGTTCAAAAGTCGTGTTAAAACCGCACCTTTCCGTTACGCGCTTGAACGCACAGAAACCATTCCTAACAGAAGTTCCAACATTTGGGTCATTTCGTCAAGTTTTAGACTTTTACTTTCGGAAGCGGAAAACCTGCTTCTTTGAGCGCCTGCCGATGCTGCTTCTCGCCCGAGCATAGGCTTGCGGCACAAAGCCGCGAGAGCTGATAGCGTCGAGCATCGAAGCGAACAGGCTTGTCGTGCATGTCCAGCCACCGACCCCGCAGGCCGCCTTTCTTGTCTCCAGCGAGGTCGTCGTCTTCGATCCACACCCGCCCTCCTGTGTAATCCCCCAGAGCCAGCGCGTGATTCAGATACCCGGCATGTATGATGTCGCGATGCACAGGTGCCGTTCGGAAAGCGGCTCTTGAGAAATCGATTCACGGCGTCGCAGGCTTCCCGCAAGCGCGTTGCGTTGGAAACGCCGACCACCCCCCCGTGTCCGAACAGCCCCAGCGTCATACTCGTAAGCTCCAGGTCCTGCGGCCCGGGTGCGTCCTTGGTGCTTCCACTCGGCAGACCACAAGTCCAGCAACCTCACCAGATTGGTCTTCGGAGGGCTTCTCCGCGGCGTTCCGGCAGCTAATTCCATGCTTTCTACCTTGCCGACATTTATCGCTTTAAAACGCGCATGCTCGACCAGCCGGGAAGCTTCTATGTCTCACGGTAGGAAGTTTTGGTAGTCAAGAGACAGGGGTCCCGCGGGCGGTCTGCGAGCACAGCTCCCGATGTTCATGTGATAGATCCGGAGGCCCGCAGCCGCACTTTCGGAGCCCATCGCCATGGCCAGCACGACCAGGCGTCTTTCGCGGCGGGGCAGAAGCTCTAAGGCTGCGTCCTGATTCCTGGAGATCTCGAGATGATAATTTTGGTCAAGAGAGCACCGGAAATAGAAGTTCTCGTGGCACTGGTCCGCGATCTGTTGGCGTTGCGGGGAAGCGCAGCTGGTTCCAGGTCCTGTTGGTGCAGGCCAGCTGCAAGAGATCGCGGACCATGTGAAATCCAGCATGGTCGCAGACGCCGGCGTCGCACATACGATCGGCTTCGTAAAGGGTTTCTTCCCCTTCCTTGTCGGCCGGTGTGGTCCAGGGTGACAGCTGACCAGGCGGGACCGCCTGGCAGGGCGTCCTCCAAAGACTTCGCTGTCCGACGCGCGCGCTTGGGCTTCGGAACAGCCTCGGCTCTGCCGCGCTTGGTCGGGCTCACAAGCAGCTCTTGTGCTGTTGGGCAGACAGCTCACAAGCAGCTTTTGTGCTGCCGGCAAGTGGCTCGTGGGCTGCTGATAGGTACGCGCCCCCTAACGCACTTCCAAATCCCGTTTTGCAAAGAGTTTAGAGCCCCCCCGATTGTGGGAGCAGCGGGCC